GTACACTTAATGTGGTTGTCTGTCCTTGACAGTCAAACAGTGGGTATTCACTTCTTCTGAGCCTCCTTTTGTGTTTTTGTTTGTTTTTGGCAGAACCAGAGATTGAACTCAGGCCCTTGCCACTTGCCAGGGAAGCACTTATTGCACTAAGCCATCTCCCTGGCCCCCCCCCTTTTTTTTTTGTATTTTTAGGGAAGGGTCTTTAGGGTGTTCAGGGTCTCACTACTAGATCGGACTTGAAGTGATCCTCCTGTCTGCAGCCTCCCAAGAGCTAGGATTACAGGCTCATACCACCATGCCCAGTCTCAATTGCTGTCTCAGCGTACCCCAGGGGCAGGGCTGGAACGGCAGGCCCTGAGATCAAATCGCTGGCCCCTGCACTTGCTTGCAGGTGCTTTAGTCTGCTGAGCTATTTGGCCGGTCCTAAAGCCTCCTTTTGGATGAAGTCTGTTGTGAGACCCCATGTGCTTCCGTGTGGTCCCTCTTAAATAACATTAAAATATCAGTAGCAATGCCTCCCTTAACTCTGGGATGATACCTCACACAAGTCAGCCTGCAGCCTCAGAGAGATCCTTAGAGTCTAAGTAACAGCACTGCCTACAGAGCTTCAGAAAGCCCCTGGAACCTGGCCATCAGGAAGCACTTATCCTGTGCCATGTGGGCTGAGTCTCTTGACTCCCAGACTCAACTCTTATGTTATTGGCATGCACATGGGGCAGACAGGAGGGCTGTGGGATCAGGCTTTCCAAGAGCAGCCAAACACAGATTTTCCTGAATCTCCTAATATGTTTTGGTACATTTAAAACTTGGGGAAGGACCACATGCCAGTACACCCAAGCCAAGACCAAAGTCATCCCCATGGACATTCAGGTTCTGCAAGTGTCCACCCACATCTTATTTTGGTCTATTTCTAACTATTAAAAATATTTCAGGGGGCCAGGGAGATGGCTCACTAGACTAAGCACTTCCCTGGCAAGCGCAAGGGCCTGAGTTCCATCCCTGGTTCTACCAAAAACAAAAAACAAAAAATATTTCAGGATAAGTTATAAGGACACACTGATAGAATAGCAGACTTGTAGGGCATATTATAGCAAAAGTTAGAAATCAGTTCATAGCCTGTGTCTGTGCTCATGCTGCCTGCCACATAGATAGCCTTAACTATCTACTTCTCTTTAATAATGTGCTGGGCCAATTTAACTGTGTCCAGCTTGTGTTTTCCTTAAGTAGAAAAATATATATTGTTTCTAACTTGTTTCAAGGACTGCATGTCTGGGATAGACTGGCCCAGTCAAGGACCCACTTAGCTCTACTTGCTCTGCTCACACCCCTTCTCCTTCCCAGAATTTTAATTTCTTCTAAGTAAACCTAACTGACAAAATATGACATAATTCTTGTATTCCATGTAACCAATCATGTAACAACCTGCTATCAGTTTTATACTTCCCACTTTCAAATCATATTTAATCTAAACTCAGACCTGACTTGAGGCTGGTGATTTGAACTTCTGGGCTGCCCAGTCCAACAGTGGAATAAAAGTTGCCTTCTACCTCCTTGGTGCAAAGAGTCTTCCCTTTGGATTGATAATGTTCTTTCTGCTACAGTATTGCAGGGCATTATGGTGCACACCTGTAATCCCAGCACTCAGGAGGCTGAGGCAGAAAGACAGCTGTGAGTTCGAGGCTAGCCTGGCTACACAGAGTTCATGGGCAGCCTGAATGTCATAGTGAGACCCTATTTCAAAACACACACATGAAAGAAAGAAGGAAAGAAAGAAAGAAAGAAAGAAGTTATAAGTTACCTAGATTGTTTCAAAGACGTGTGTGAGGTGTGCACAGTGACTTTCCCCAAAGACAGTGGGGGGGGGGAGGGGAGGAGGAGGAAGAGGAGGAGGAGGAGTCTCTTCACAGCATAGGAACCTGTCCGCACCTTAGTGAGCAATAGTTCAGAGCAGGCATGGACCCTCCCACCCCATAACCCTGGTCTACACGGAGAAAACATCATAGACGTACCAGCTAGGAATTCTGCAAAGTCCCTGTCCAGGATACCTGTAAGCTAGGAAAAATCTAAGGACACAGTCCAGCCATGAGGAGCTGAGGAGGTGGCAGGCCACAGGGCTCCTGCTCTCAGTCCACATATAGTCTTCAGGAGGCAGGCTAAGGAGAGTCAGTTAACACAGCCTGGGGATTGGTTCATTACCTGCAACACTGCCATGGTGACTACAGGTATTAGGAATAGGGGAAGGTTGTGTGGGATGTGTGGAAACTGCATAACCATCTCAGTTTTTCTGTAAATGTAAAACGTTCATGAGACTTTAAAAGCTAGGGTGGTGGCACATACCTGTAATTCCAGCAGTCAGGAGGCTGAGGCAGGAGGGTTGCCTTGAGCTAGCCTAGGTTACATAGTTCAAGGACAACCTGAACTACAAAATGAGACTAACCCTGCAGTTGCCAGGGAGGTACCTGTGCCACTGAGCTATATCCCCAGCCCCAACATTTTTTTTCTTAAGACTATTTAGAAACATCAAGTCAGATGTAGTACTACTCACCTGTCAACATAGCATTTTTAGTCTGGGCATGGTGGCGCGCGCCTGTAATCCCAGCACTTGGGAGGCAGAAATCAGGAGGAACACTACTAATGAGGGCTGTGTAGTGAGACCCTGCACACACACACACACACACACACACACACACACACACACACACAAAAGACCCTGGATTCAATTTCTAGTACCACAAAAACAAACCTAAACAAAAAAACTGTTCTCAGATCTAGTAGTGTGTTCCTATAGTCACAGCACACAGGAGGCTGAGACTGGAGGTCCACTTGAGCCTATGAGTTTGAGACCACTAGCAGCAACATAAATAAAACTTAACCCCTAAGAAACCCGTGCCCAGCAGAAGATGTCAGGTACCACACTGAGGCTCATCTCCTAGCTGCCCTGAGTTGCTTTGCAGGGGAGAATTTTAAAACTATAGCTTCATAATTGAGCTATCAGACTCAGCTGGCCTTACTCAGCTGCAAATGGGAGATAATTTGATTCAGCTTTATCTGACCAGCAACACAGTGCTACACACATGCCCTGTTTCAAGGACTAGCCATCTGGGGCCAACTAGCTCGGCCAGACTAGCTTCATTGTGAATGGCCTCTCCAATTAAACCTGCCCAGACACATCTGCCTGACAATGTGTAACCAAATATAAGTTACCAATTATATGCTAACCTGTTATTCATTCTGTATTTCCTGCTTGCATAATGTATATAAGTTGCTATTTTACTCTAGGCCAGGGCTGATGATTTGTATCAGGTTCCTATCAGCCCACTGATGTTAGTAAAAGCTGCCTCTCCGTTCCTTGGTGCAAAGCATTTTCTATTCCGCTCACAACAGTTTCTGGGACAGCTTAACTAAACTGATTTAGCAGATGTGCACACTCTGCCCTCCTGTTTGTATGTCTCCTAAGACTGCTAGCACCAAGAAGGCTGTGAACACACACTGGCATCTAAAGTGTAGCCATGTCTGCTAGTGCCAACGATATCAGTAAGGACCCCAGGACCCTACCTCCTGGAATGCAGGGCCAGTGCTCAGTTGTAGCAGTGGCATGGACGCAGCATATGTGGAAAGCCCACACTCCAGGCCTGGCGGGGAGAGATGTACACAGATCCAGCAGGAGCTGCTTTGAGGGCTCTGTCAGGATACAGGGCCTTCTCAGCCCCACTCTCCCACGCCTGAGGGTCTCAGTGAAGTCAGAACAAATCACACAATTTATAGAAACCATAAATGCCTAGTGTGGGAGAGTTGAGGGACTCTGAAGCCAGCATCAAGATGTTGGTGCTGGTTCAGGGGCAGCCGGGCTGCAGGTGCTGCTTGGGCCCACCATGCTGGCCTAGCCGCTGCTGTTGCTGGGTCCTTGCCTGTTCCTCAGCTCTCTCGCTGCCTCAACCCTGCTGTGGGGCTGATAGTAGCCAGTCTGGAGCACAGAATCACAAAGTGCAACTTCTTCCCCATATGCCCTCCTGAGAAAACAATGCTCATCTCATCTCTGGCCCAGGTCATTGCAGAGCTGTCCCTACCTGCAGTGGTGGCAGGTGTCCTGTGAGGCTCAGCTACTGGCTGCTGGCCATGAGGTGCTGTGGTGGATTGACAACTGGTGGGCAACTTATAACACCCTGCTGAACTGAATCGGCACAGTGCTGGGTATGGAAGGCCCACCTGAGGATTGTTGCCAACAACATAAAAAGGAAAACTAAGGAGGAAGAAATGGTGTTACTGACTTTCCTGGAGGAGCTTGTCATGCTGGCTTTCCTGATAAAATCTTGGCTGTTCTCATTGTCAGAGGAGCTCAGAACCTCACTGTCACTGAGGATGGCTCTGATACTTTTCGGGAGAGCTCTGGTCCTTACTCTGAGCATCACTTCCTGACTCCAGTGAGATCCCTCAGCATGTTGGCATGGATCTTTCAACCTCCCTGGCACAGACCTTCTAGCTTCCACCACAGACCTTTGGGCTTTCCCAGCACAGAACCTTGATACAGAATTGCATGAGACATTGTGGACTCTTAAGTTCTAAATCTTAAGCTGGACTCCTACAGGCCATTGCCATGGGATCCAGGCCCTAAACCTGGATCTTTAGTGTGTGGACAGATTTCTTCCACTTTGTACTTATCCTATAAGTTATGTGTCCTGTATTATTTCCACTGCAAACCCTGACTACAACTGGTGTGTCCCCCTATGTGCCTCTAATCCCACACCCTTCTGTCTCTGTGGGCCCCCCTTGACTTCTGGCCCTGAGGGCCCCCATGCGAGACAGAGGCCACAGGTGAGGCCTCCTCCCCCATTTCTCCAGGCTTTGTCCTGAGGTGGGTAGGTCCAGGAGTACCCTACCTGTCCACACCTGCCCATCAGTGTTTACAAAGAGCCCATAGCTCAGGAATGACTCAGTGGAAACCTGGCAACCCAGGCCTCCTGTGCTCCAGACTCTGCAATCCAGAAGGGACACACCTCCTGTGCACTCTTCTCACTGTTGTCTCCAAGGCTGGTTTCCAGGAGGTGAGCCAAACGCTACTCAGGGGAGCCTGTAGTGACAGTGGGGGGCTCCCCACCGTGGACCTCAAGTGTGAGGCACAGCCTTCTGCCCCTCTTCAGCCACCTTACAGGCCTCCAAGATGCTGGATTCTTCAGTGGCAGACCAAATGACCCGGCTGACACTGAAGCTTTTGGAACAGGTACGACTCCACAACTCTGCCACTGCTCAGCATTGAGCATAAGGGACAAGGGTGCCAGGCAAAGTTAGTTGCATCTGCCTGCAAACCACCTGTGAGCATGTTGTTTTCTTTTTCTTGCTTGCTTGCTTTTTTTTTTTGGGGGGGGGGTTATTTTGTGTGTGTGTGTTTGTTTGTTTGTTTTGGCAGTGCCAGGACCTTGCACTTGCCAGGCAGGTGCTTATACCACTGAGCTATATCCCCAGCCACATGTTGTGTTTTCAAAGCAAACTCTTTCCAGTAGATTTTAGCCTCATTATGAATGTGGTTTTTCTGTTTCTTTGCACATGTGAGTACCAGTTAGGTGCTTCTAGTGGTTTTCAAAGTTGGGCTTTCGCACAGGGCTCCGGGCCTGAGCCTGGTTACTCCCATAGCCCTCTTCATATTCTTGTCCTGCCTAGGCTCTGGGTGGTCTGGGAGGCCTTCTTTGTCTTGCCCGCCTGCATTCCTTCTGTCAACTGGGGCCCAAATCTTGGTTGGTAGTGATCAGGGTGCTCTGCTACACACCATGTTTTAAGATCTGCACTATGTTGATCACACAACTAGCATGACCCCTGCCTTCCCATCACCCATGCTTCCTGCCCCTGGCAACAGCAATGCAGCCAACACCACCTCACAGCCTCTGTTCCTCACAGAAGCTGGAGCAAGAACGAGAGAACATGGAAGAGGGCTCTGAAGGCACCCATCTCCTGCCAGGTAAGAGCCTAGGCTATATGGGAACTTCACAGGCAGGGGCAGGGCAGACAGCAAGGACAGCAGGGGCAGTGGCCCCCTGGGAGCTACCTCTACCCCAAAATGCTCTCTTTCTACTGGGAGAAGGAAGGCCTTTGTATTCACACACATAACCACACATACCTCCACTGTTCCCTCAAGGCCCCTGAGAGGGGAAGTTCTCATCCCCATTCCATTCTTCAGGTGAGGAAGAGAGTAGTCCTGTCAGGACAGACCCATAGAGCTCTGTATCTAGAGCCCTGAACACACAGGGGCAGGTGTGTATGTGGGGGGGGGGGAGTCTGGTCTTGTCCTCCAGGTTTCAGGAATTTGGATGAGGGGCAAGCAAAAAGGTATTCTTTAGGACACCATGCACCTAGAGTTCAGAGTGCAGCCTAGGGCGCTAAATCCCAGTGAAGCACCAAACACTAGACCACATGACCCTGGTGATGGGGCAGCCGGGGCTATACCTTGGACAGCCTGTAGTCCAACTCCAGCAGGCCTTCTCTCCATCAGTGAGAGCCAGGCTTTCAGGTACAGCACAGGGGTACCACCACTGCTGAGTGCAGAAGGCAGGAGCTCTCAGCACAAAGGCCCAGGAGGACCAGCCTCACTAGTCAGATTGACTTCCCAAGGTACCCCTCCCCTGGACAGCCTTCTCAGCTTTCATCCCCCTTCTTGGGATGAGTATTTGCAGGAGGCCTGATCAGGAGACTCTGGGTCATCCTGGGACTTGGGCTATGGAGATGTGGAATACACTGACATGTCCCCCATAACATCCCTGACCACCTGGTCACCTTCCTGGAGCCCTCCTCAGTGGGCAAGGAATGTGCTTCCCTCAGGACACGAGGACAGACTGAACGAAGCACTGCAGAGCGCCCGGAGGAGGAGGAAGGAGCTACTGCTGAGACTCCGGGTAGGCACTATATCGGGCAGGCCTCTCACCCCCAGCAGGCAACCCCCACAATACTTTGAGCCTCCCCAGTCCCTGTTCCATTATGCCAACCCATGCCCAGATCCCCCCCAAGCCAGTCTAATGCCCCCCAGGTCCTGTCCTTCCATCCCAGGTTTCCTACCCCTAGGCAGGCCCTATACTTAGAATTCTGGGTAATCTCCAAACCCTAGGCAGGCCCTCAGCCTACATATCCCATACCCCTCCAGGACCCTAAGGTACCTTGCAACCTTTCCCCATGCCTCACCACCTCCACACACCCTGTCTCCATGATACTACATGAAGGGAGCAGGGTGGAGGTGGCTGATTGATAACAGAAATGGAAAACCAGGTCAAGAAATATGAAGATGTAGGCAAAACTTTTAACTGAGAAGGAAAAGAAAATGGAAGAGGACTCCAGATGGAGGAAAACTCAAGGGGCACCGTTCTGACAGAAACTGGACAAAGGAGGCAGAACCAAAGACCTTATGTGCCCTTGTGGGAATATGTACCATTGCTTTTAAAACTTATCAAGTAATTTAATTAAGTGCCTGGTAGTTTTCCCAAAGCCAACAGAGCCAGCTTTACTGGAGTGCATGGGTAGGCAAGAGTCAAGTTGATCATGTTGGTTCTGGTTCTGTAAGCTGGCTCTGGAGAGATCCTGTGGCTGGAAGGAGTAGCCCAGCTCCCACATAAAGATGGCTCTGCTTTGGGAATGGTCATGCCATGGGTGGTCTGTCTGTGAGGCTCTGCTGGAATCCAAGTTGCCTTTGGATTTTTAGTGAGAGGCTTCTTGGTGCTGATTCAAGGGGCCTGGAATAGGACACTAAAAGCAGGCACTTGAATGTCCCCATAAATCTTAAAAATATCTTACCCTTATCATGGTGTCCTCAGTCTTGAAGAGGGGTGAGATAGGTTAAGTAGGGCAAATAAATCTTGAGTCACCAGTTTTTAGACAGAAACTCCTCATGTAATTAAGAGGCCTACATGAAGAGCTGAGCAGGGATCTGACCAAGAACATAAGTTAACAAAGGAGAGAGATACAAAATGGAGAAGGCTGAGATGCCAAGCATGCTACAGCTGTGACATTTGTGCAAAGCCACATGGCATTTGATAGATTTTTTTTCCCTCTTATTTACCAGTTGGGCATCTTCAGGACCAAGTAAAGAGCCAGAGCTTTTTAACAAAATCAAGCTTTAAATCCCTGGCCATCTCCAGGTGGGTCCCTGCTCCCTGGTAGGCCCACAACCTCAGCAACCTTTGGCAGAGCTCACTGCAACCAAGCCCTGCTGCACTGAGACCACAGGCCCAGGAGGCTTTTTGCATACTTGAGGCTGGTTTTCTTATGCCAAAAATCAGAAAAGGCAACGTGAGCATTCCCCAGGAGAATCTGCTGGGCACACAGGGCATGCACATCAAAGGTGGAAATGTTGAAGGCATAGCTCCCAAGGATAGTACAATTTTAGGGTGTCAGGGTTTCATCCAAACAAAACTGACCAGCAGCAAGAAGTGCCTTGCTCAGGTGGTCTGCATCTGTTACCCAACACCCTGGGGTGGGAGTTTGGCTCCTCATCTGGCCAGGAGCAAATGCTTGAAAGAGTGTTTAGACTCCATTTGCTTTGGGAAAACAACCAGGCACTTGATTAAATTACTTGATAAATTTTAAAAGCAATGGTACATATTCCCACAAGGCATACAAGGTCTTTGGTTTTGCTTCTTGGACCTCATTTCAGTTTGGGTAGTCCTGAGCTGAGCCATGGCTCTGAACACCAAGGGTCCTTGTGCTCTGGTAGGGTGACAGTCTTGGGCACGGGCCCAGGATCCCCTACAGCTTGCTGGGGGCACGGGTCTGTTGGCCTTGCAGGAACAGCAGCTCCTGGGTAAGCACCCCTGGGCCCACACCTGGAGGGGAGTTTGTGGAGGGGCTCCAGGTGGGGCCAGCCTGCTCCCAGAAGTACCCCCCATGGACGTCTACCCTACTGCCTCCCAACCCCCGCTGGCCCCAGAGCCACCAAGAATCATCCAACACCAGGTAAGAGGAGACAGGTAAAAATAACAGCTGTAGTAAGGACAGAACAGGAAGACAGACCTCATAGTGATAGGGGCTGTGTTCCCACCACCTCCCCATGAGGCCCCTGCAGCACAAGAGCCCACTCAGAAGCGTAGCCAACTCGGAGGTACAGCTGCTATGACACATGACTTGGGGCCTCTAGCAAGTCCTCAGTCCTTTAGGTGTGCAGACGCCTGGCCTTCCAACAAGTGGGAGTAGGACCCTGCATTAAGGAAAGCACAGACTCTCATTTCATAACTTCATAATCACCAGGGTTGCTGAGATCCTAATATAAAGGGCAGAGTGACACAGATAAAAGTGTTACTGTGGTGAGAGCTTCCTATGATGTTCAGCATTCTAAGTTTTGAGCAATAGAAATCAAATGACTTAAGCACAAAGGAATGGTATCTGGAGGACATGGCACCAGGAGACCCAGGAGCCTAGACCTGGCATGGTGAGGCTAGAGGGCTCAGTGTGATGGGGTACAGAACGTGGGGAGGACAGGGGGAAGGCAAGTAGAGGAGGCTCTGGGCTAGCTCAGTGGCAGGGAGGACACCTTTCAGCGAGGGATGCTGGCAATAGCAGCACGTAGCTGAGGAGCAGACTAGAAAGGGACAGCTTTAGGAATTTGTGCAAGTGGTGCCCCCAGGTTCCTCTTTGTTGAAAGGCTGTGTCTCTACAAGTTTATCAGGATTCTCATGACTATATGCCTATGTTATGGTTTGTATCTAGTTGTCCCCCACAAAGCTTCATGCAGTCACTGGGGTGGGCTTCTAGAGTTTGTGATGAATTCATGATCCAGTGTGGGATTTATGGGTTTCAGTGCTATACCCACAGATAGCCTGAATGCAATCTAAGAAAGGGAAAGAGGCTTGCTCTCTGTGTCTGTTGCTGTTGCTTCTCCCTTTTTGCTGTTGCTCTGAACTGTTCCCCTCTGCCTTATGCCACTCTGCCTTGGAGCCAGCCCAGTATGGACTGGAACTTCCACAAACTGAATTAAATAAACCTTTCCTCTCTTAATTCATGGTGTTGGGCATTTTGTCCCAGCAATGAGAGAAAAGTAACCAAGACAGCCTATATGTCTGAATCTCAGCCTGAGGCAAGAAAGCCCTGGGCAGTGGAGGACAATCCAGAGCTGGCCTGGTGACCCTGAGGCAGAAGTCCTGGCAACAAGAGAAGTGCAGAGGCTCTGGGACACCTCACTGGGGCATACTATGGACTGGCTTCAGGCCTGCGTGGCTGCCTGCTGTTTATATAGTTGGAGGGACAAGGATGGCTTTAAGTTTTGTTTTGTTTCTTTGTTGTATAGTGTAAAGGATCAACCTCTGGGCTTTGTGTATGTTAGACAAGGGCTCTACCACTGAACTATACCCAGTACTAGTTTTTGTTGTTGTTTTGTTTGCAATAATGGGGGTTGAACACAGGACTTTTGCACTGAGCTATATTTCATATATATATATATATATATATATATATATATATATATAATTTTTTTTTTATGAGACAGTTGCTTAGACTGGGCGTGAACTTGTGATCCTTTTCCTGGTCCTACTTTTTAGTGTTTGGGAAATACATGAACATGATGAGAAATGAACTTTTCAATGTTCATAAAGTTCTGTGGGACTGGGACTCTGTAACCAAATCTGCCTTTGGCTGCTCTTCAGGTCAGTAGTATCCATCTGTGCTCACTCTATGGTCCAGAGCAAGACATCCCAGGCAGACTACAACAGAGCCCATGAGCCTAAGCAATTTATTACGTGGTCCTCTGCAGAAAAACTCACCAGTCCCTGGTCTGTGCCACTCTTTCTATTAAGGGAGACAAGGTCATGTTGGACTTGCATGTCCAGAAGAGGATTAAGACAGATTTTAGCTGGGTATGATGGTGCATGCCTATAATCCCAGCTACTCAGGAGCCAGATGCAGGAAGACTGCAAGTTCAGTCCCAGCCTAGAAACCTACCAAAGTTCTGTCTCATAATAAAAAGGGTTGGAAATGTACTTCAATGGTAGAACACTCCTGAGAACCATCTCCAGCACTGCACCCAAAGAAACAAAAACCCAGGTTTCTCTGCTGTTTTCTGGAAATCACTGCTCATTTATGTTCACTCAGAAGAGAAGCTAGATGTTTTATTCATAACAAGCTCCATACACGTCCTATAGTGCATGGTCAATCCACAGCAATTAATCAAGTTGGTATTGGTGCCAGTATAGACAGGGCAGAACTATAGCACTTACCAGATGATTCAGCCATTTGACCCAAGGTCTGCCCTGCAGTCTCTGCATCAGCAGCCATTAGGAAAATGCAAGTGAGAACCATAGTAAACCACCACGACACCCATGCTAAAATGACCAACATTTCAAATGACAGCCCATACCATGTGTTAAATATGTATATTAAAGATTTTTTAAAAATGAAACCACACATAAGCCTATTATGTTGAAGACAAGAAATGTGAGAATCTTTACAAATACCATGTATATCTAGACTCAAGTATCTTTCTATTCAACCATTTATTTAACCTTTGGTGTCTGTTTGTTTGTTTGTTTATTTATTTATTTTGTGGAACCAGGGATTGGACTTAGGCCCTGCAAGTGCTTATTCTAATGAGCTATCTCCCCGGCCCCAGTGTTAAATTATTTAAAATTCTCCTCCCATCGGTAGATAGATGGATAGATAGGTAGATAGAGTAATGGCGAGTGAATGGGTAGATAGATGGGTTGGTGGTTGGGGCAGGAACCAGTAATGTCTGGGAAACTCCTGGATTAAAAGATGGATGGGTGGGCAGAAGGATCAGTGGGTATATGGGTAGATGCATATATGGGTGAGTAGGTGGATAGACTAATGGATAGATGGATAGATCACTAAGGGAAAGAGGGATGTACGTATGGGTAGAGGAAGAGCCAAGTATGGTGGGCATGACTGTAATCCCAGAACTTGGACGGCTGAGGCAGGAGGATCTCTACAAAGTAAGTTCAAGGTCAGCCTAAACTGCATAGTGAGACCCCGTCTCAAAAAGAGAAAAAAAAATGGGTACAGGGATGGATAAATAAGTGAAGGGATGAGGTAAAGGATTAGTGGAGGAGTGGATCAATGGTTTGAATGGAGGAGTGGAGGAAAAGGAAGTATCATGGGTGGAAGAATAGATGGGTGGGTAAGTGATGAGTAGGCAGAACATGTATGGGTCGACATGACTAGAAGAAGGGAAGGATGGCTAGGTGGGTAGTGGAATGGGTGGGCATATGGGTGAGTGGGTGGATGAAGAGAAGGTAGATGGATATATGTGTGGAAGAATAAGTGGGTGGGTTAATAGTGTGGGAGTGGCTGGCTAAAGTGTAGAGCACTGCGTCCAAGGCTGCGTTCAGATAGCTAATCACTTGGCTCTTCTTAGGTCCCCCAGCCTCCTGCCACCATCATTCAGCAGCTACCTCAGCAGCCACTCATTGCACAGATTCCTCCTCCTCCTCCTCAGGCCTTTCCTACTCAAAGGTCAGGAAGCATTAAGGAAGGTAAGTGTGCCACACCATTATGAATTTATGAAACTACTGAAAAAAATATTTTGTCATCAGGATAGTCAACTTGAGGTCACCTTTTGGTTACTGAACATAAAAATAATTTTAACTTTATGAAATACACAGAAGAAAGTGACACATAGCCTGGCAGTCAGGCACCCTATCCCCACTTCCTTTCACACTGTCACTGCCTATAGTGGCCACTGTGCTTGGAGGGAGGGGCAGGAGCCAGTAATGTCTGGGAAATTTCTGGAGGGAGGGAAGATTATGGAGCTGGAAGCACCTTTGGAAGATTGGGAGCCAAAGAAAGGTGAGATCAGAGTTTCTATGAAGATATAAACAAGAGAAATTGGAAACATATCACATCATTCTGGAGTGGTAGAAGCAAATCAAAGCACCATTGCAAACAGGAGAAAATTGTTATAAGTGATCTGGATGCTTCCAAGCCCCCAAAAGCTAAAATAGAGAAGCTAAATGAAAACACTAGGGCCAGGGATATAGTTCACCAGCATAAGCACCTGCCTGGCAAACACAAGGTTCCGAGTTTGATCCCAGGTACTGGAAAAAAACAAAACAAAACACTAAAGGAGTTAATAGACTCAGATGAACTTCCGTGTCTCATACATCAAGACCAAAGGATCGGGGGCTGGGTTGATAGCTCAGTAGAATAAGTGCTTACCTGGCAAGTGCAAGGGCCTGAGTTTAATCCCCAGTTCCAATAAATAAATAAATAAATAAATAGCTATGTACAAAGGTTCTTGTTTTGACTCCAGTGAAAAAACTGGCAAACCAAGTAACTGAAGTCTTTAAGGCTATAACTAGGAACTCAAGTGTTGCCTTTTTGGGTGGAATATCATATCAAAGCCAAATTAACCACATTAAAAGAGGTATTGACATCTAGGATAGGACCCTTGGGTGTATCAAAGTATTCTTTGGATCTTTTTAAACTATGCCATGTAGTATTTGATGAAGTGGATCCAATGTTAGATTTAAGTTTTTCTGAACAAGGTGAACATATTATCCATGAATTCTACAAAATGGACTCTGAATATAATCCTTAGATTTTTTTTTTTTTGCAACTTGCCCACTGTGGGTTTATAAAGTTGCAGAAAAAAAAATAATACAAATAAAAATACACTCACCTAGTTCAAAAAATGATTCAAAAGACTTCAGTTAGTGTAGAACATTTGGCAACCCAGTGCAACTGGTCTTGTGGACCTTAGTTAATGGAGACTTCCTTCAAGTCCAAGGAGAGCCTGAAGGGAGAGTTATTTTACCTTCTGTGAGATCAGAAAGAATGTTAACTGAAATGAATAAAACACGTGAAGCACAGTGCCCAGTATTTACACAAGGATACTGCATAGTCCTAACGAAAAATCACACTGAAAGGTTTCAGAGAGGTCATTTTGGTGGGCACCAAGCTCCCTGTGGCTTGAACATTCCTGAGGTTGACCTAGTAATCTGAAGTTCTCCATAGGCTGTTGAATCTTCTGTCCACCACTCGAGACACACAAGGAGAGCTGGCTACATAGGGATTTGTATATGTTTTATCAACCAAGAGAAAAAGTCATCTAAGATATATGGATGAAAAAGCTGGAATTCCATTTAATTCCTCTACAGCAGATTTAGTTAAATCTGTTTCTTATGCTATAGTTGATTTTTTTTTCCTGACCCAGTTCAGAGACTGATAGAAGAGAAAGGGGCAGTGGACATGTTGGCTGCAGCATTAGCCTCCATTTATAGTTCATCAAGCTTGAACCATGTTGTTTGATCACCTGTAGCAAGGGGTCGTGTCCATGGGTCTTTTTCATTTCACCCCTCTGCTTTTTTGACCATGGGGCTCAGATCCTGGGTGTTTATGTATTAGCCCACCCAGCTTTCTGGGCCTGGGGTGTGTATGTTTAGAGGATAGCCCTGGGAGATGTGTTTTTTTTTTAGTGAGGCTAATAGTGCAGCATCATGCTTTTCTAGGGGTAGCTACCATAGGAAGAATCAGTTTTTGCTCCTCACGTCGTCAAAAAGTTAAAATGTTGTGTGGTGCCCAGGGCTAGTGAGGGGATTAGCTTTCTGTGCCTGTGCTAAACATAGTCCTACAATCTGGCTGGCTTAACAGTGGAACTTTATTACTGTGCAGTTTGGGAGACCGACCATACCATCAAAGTTCAAGTGATTCCTCAGGTGGCTATAGGGATGGTCCTGCCTGCTACTTTTGTGCCTGTGGCTCCAGGCTTCCTGTGGCCTTTTCCCTGGTCACCACATAGCCTCCTTCCTTACCTGCCCCTCTCTGAGCACTTTCACTGGATTGAAGGTCCATTCCAGAATAATTTTGTTTCATAATCCCTGATTAAATCTATAGCCTTTTTCCAAATAAGGTTACATTAAGAGGTCTTGTGGTTAGGTGAGGAGTATGTTGCTCTGGGGTCACCAGGCAGGGGATGTGAGTGGCAATGAGGCCATCCAGGAAGGCCACAAAGCCTTACCCACAGCTCCTCTCTGACTGTAAGTCCCACTCTTGGAGCATCTCATGGCTCTAAACACAGACACATAGACTAGAATGTTCTCAGCGCTAATACTTTGTTTCCAAGGCTGAGCCTAAGAGTAGGCCCTTGTTTCTCCTTCCAGACATGGTGGAGATGATGCTGATGCAGAATGCACAGATGCACCAGATCCTCATGCAGAACATGATGCTCAAAGCCCTACCATCTGCACTGGCACCTACTGGACTACAATCTGCCCAGCAGGTGGGCTGGGGGCATCCTGGAGTTCCTGCATCTGGGTAGCTCTGGAAGGGCCTCTCTGGGTCAAACCTGGAGTCCGGCTGTGAAGCCCCAGTGCTGCCACCCCTTCTATAAGGAATGGGTTTTGCACCTGGGGCCCAGGAAGTGCGTGGCCCAAGTTCTACCTATAGCTGCTGCCCTTTCCTGCCTTCACACTCAACCCTGTCCCAGTCAGAAATGGGTTCAGGGGAAGAGGCCATCATGAACACGGCTATGCACCCTATGCCAGGACCCTCGTGGGATGCGCCCAGTGGTCCTCCGAGCCGAGAAGCAGAAGCCGCCTGCAGTGCACCACCACCACCACTATGCACCCTCTAACTCACTGCAGCCTGGTTCTGTGCCAGGCTCCTCCCTTAGTTACTCCATGTGGCCCTCAGTGGTTGCAGCCACTGCCCTGCCACCTGCCACCAGCTTCTTGCCTGCCATGACTACTCTGCCTGCCCTTAGCACGTAAGTTCAGAAGGAAAAGGTTGGGTACCTGTGGCAGCAGGGTGCAACCCCCCTGGGCCTGGGATGCTAGACATGTAGGCTGCAGCAGAAGCCTTGGAAGGGGCCATAAGACTCCACCACCTTCCAGGAAGCTGCAGGGTTCCACGTCCTCTATGAGGAGTGGACCTGGAGTGCCTCTACTGCAGCGTGGGCCAACCCAAGTGCTATACCAGGGTCAATCTCACTTGTCCTCTAGGCTGGTATCTGATGGCATCCCGCCCTCACAAGCCCCAGGTGTGTGAGCTCTCTAGCTCCAGCTTGGTAAGTAGCAAGGTTTTCCATCTTTGTGGCCTCACCATGGTCCTTCTGGAAACTCAAAGTGACTCCCACCCAGTGGAAATATAAAGGTTTTAACTAGGACAAAACTTAGTAGGGCCCAGCATGCGTAACAGAAAAGATGTTTCAGCCACGTAGAAAAATAAAACATTCCCCTGGGGGTTATAAAAGGAAGTCATACTGGGGCTGGGGATGCAGATCAGTGCTGCAGCTGCCTGCTTAGCAGTGTGAGGCTGGCATGGGGACCTGTCTGCCACGTGTGGAGCAGTCCCATGTCAGTGTGCATGAAACAAGCAGAACACATATGCTAGGACTGAGTTATGGTCTACATGCGAGGGGACCCATGTGCTGCCTGTATGGTGTCTATTGAAGGCCAGCAGCTGAACCCAGCCCCTCTAGCAGGGCCAGCAAGAAGGGCTTCTCTACAGCCTGTTCCTCCTTTCCTCCTGTTTTGCTGGACTGGTGCCAAGTAAAATTGCCTAGCTACCAGGATGCTTCCTACTTTGTATTGTGGTGGAATCGTGTCCTTGCTGTTTTAACGTTTTTTGTTTTTTAATTAAAATCTACATACACATTTCTATTTCCAGGGTCTTGGTCAGTCAGTCACTCTCCCTCCCTCCCTCATTGTGGATTGCACTCAGGGACTTGGTAATGAGTTACATCCCAACACCCTTTTTAGTTTTTACTGAGACAGGATTTCACTAAGTTACTACATTGCCCAAGCTACGCTTCAATTTTCAATTCTCTTGCCTCAGCCTTTTCAAGTGCTGAGATTACAGATGTAGCTCAATGTAAGTTTTTCATTTGTGAAGTGCTTTACTTGAAGTTTTTGTCCTTGAAACCTTGCAGGCTGGAGCCAAGTCAAACATCTTGCACTGTGGCTTAGAGCATCCTTGGTTCTCTGGCAAGTGTTACAGCCATGAGGAGCAGGGTGTGTCCATGTGGATGGGTGAATGAAGAATGACACACACCTGACTCCACAGTGACATCCGGTTCCTTCAGTCATCTTTGCTTGTGGGCCTGAATGTGATTCTAGACTCTGCTGTGTTAAATGCATGAATTAAAGGCCTGACCCGATTTCCTATTTTTGTGATTGCTTTAATATGGCTGCTCTTTTGACTTTTTTCTCTTCACGTAATTATTAATTTACAGAGAGAATTTTATCAGATGCTGGTTCTCAGCTTTAGGTGTTGCTAGGCAGGAGGTATGAAGGGAACATGTCGGCACTGGGAGCCCCTGCTCTGCTCACACCACTGGCTGGACTGGGCTGGTCTGCAGGAGTGGCAGGTGTGTAGCTACCCTCACATGTGTTCTTCCTTGCCACAAAACAGGTGCTCCAGGCCCGTGTGGAAGTGAAGTGTGCAGTGGGATCTGGTGTGGGTATGAAGCTGCCTTGAGTTGAGGTTGGATGAAAACTCAGCTGCCAAGCTGGCCATGGGGAGCATTTAGGCCAGAAGGACACTTGCTCATATTCTATATTTTCAATTAATCTTTTCATGGAACTTTTTTTTTTTTCTTTTGTGGTACCGGGGATTGAACTCAAGACCTTGTGCATGCCAGGCAGGAGCTTATGCCACTGAGCTATATCTTCAGCCCCTCATATTGTATAGTGAAACAAGGTGGTTTTCAAGAACATATAAAAGCAAATCAAGAATTATAAAGGAAAACCAGTGGGAAGACAACAGATAGGAGCAGTCACACAATGAGAGGATGAGGATGATGAGCTGTGAAGTGCAGTGCAATGTGGGACAGGACAGCCCATCACACCAGGGAAATAATCCTGGCAGGGGCTGGGACACATCCAGGTTGGGCAGATCCTATGGTTGCTAGCTATAGGATGCCAGGGCACAGGCACAAGACCTTCAGAAGCACTGGGTGTGCATACCTGCAGTCTCAGAACTGGGAGGCTGAGGCAGGACTGAGTCTGAGGCCAGTCTGGGGTAGGGGGGAAAGCAATGATGAGTTTTAATGGAGCCCATAACACCCTCCTCCCAATAACCCCCAGCAATACTGAGGCTTGTGCCCTAGGCATGGGCTGATGTCTGCTGAGCTCTGCTGTGCTAGACACTAAACAGAATAATCGTAACTAACCACAGCCCAGTGGAACAAGTGGGCCTGTCATATGTTCTAACCAACCCCACTGAGAAACATTTCCATACTTCTGCATCAATTAATGAGTCACACATCACTGGAGTCCTAGAATCCCCAGGTTTTATGGTTGTCTCTTACTGTTGATCTCCTGCAGTGTCTACCATACCTAGGATCCCATTTAACAGCAATGGAGATGCCAGAACCCAGAACCCACTTGACCTGCTCCCACCAAGGACGTGGCCCCTGTTCCTAAAGGCTCTGGAACTTGTGGCTTGCTTCAACGTTCAGAAGATACATGGGAAAGACTGTCCCAGTGAGATTTTGTATAGAGAAACTGTTAGTCTCCTGTGTCTCCCACACAGAAGTAGCAGGGCAAGTCTCCTTTTGGCCCTGGATGGCCATGTCTACAGCAACAATGAGGGAGAGGCAGGAGCTCAGAGCTCAGCAGCTTCAGTGTCGGAAGAGGTCTAGCACAAGCAAGGCTCAGATCAGGAGCTCTGGTGTAGCCCTGGTCCTGCAGTGCCTGCCCACAGCAGCATCAGAAGAGGCCCCTGCTGAGGGGCTGCAGCTGGGCCCCCGTGCGTCGGCTTAGCTCCTCCAGTACCTGCTTCTCCTGGAGGTACATCTGAAAGATAGAAGCAAGGCCTGTGACCTCCAGGACCCTCACCCACCTACCCTGTCCCCAGAAACACCCTCCAGCCTGTAAGGGGCAGGACCTTTTGACCCTGAAGAGCCCAGGGCAGCACCTGGATGGGGTGGGTGGTATCAGCAGGTGCCTTTCACTAAAGAGAGTTCTGGCCAGGGAGATGGCTCAGTGGAATAAGTGCTTCCCTGGCAAGCACAAAGGCCTGAGTTCAATCCCCGGTTCCACCAAACAAACAAAAGAAGTTTCCCAGGTCTTTCATAACAGTGGTTAGTTTGCTGTCAAACACAAACCAAGCTGTCTGAACACAGTGGGTGGCGCTGATCTATTTCTAATTTTTTTTTTTTTTGAGACGGGGGTCTCCCTATGCAGTTCACATGATTCTTGAACTCACTGTGGGCCTCACACTTGCTACAATCCTACCTCAGCCTTGCAAGTGGTAGTGTTACAGTATGCTTCACAACACCGTGTGATTCACTTTTTTTTTTTATGAATTTAGGACAGGGTCTAAAGCGTATACAGGGTCTTACTACATAGATCAGACTTGTAGTGATTCTCCTGTTTTCAGCCTCCCAAGTACTGGGATTATAGGTGCGCGCCACCACGCCCAGTCTCAATCAACATCTCAGTGTGCCCCAGGGGCAGGGCTGGCACAGCACACCAGGGATCAAACCCTGGCTGCTGCACCTGCCAAAGCAGGTGTTTTAGTCTGCTGAGCTATCTGGCTGGCCCATGATTCACTTTAAACCAAGTCTCTCTCTCTACCCAGTCTTATCTCTGATGATGACTATCATCAGGTCCTTTTTTCTTTTTTGACAGGGTCTCATGATGTAGCCTGGGCTGGCTTCGAATTTGGGGTGATCCTTTTGCCTCAGCTTCCTGAGTGCTGGTAGTACAGGTGTGTAGCACCACGCCTGGGTTAGCATCAGGTTCTTAAGACTTTCTAAATAGTGTACTTTCCCCTAGAATTAATTACAAGTGGTCAGGGGAAGATAACTTTCAGTCTGTGTACTCACATCTGTTTTTCAATAGTTGCATTAATACTGCCAAAGGTATTTGGGGAGCCCAATATTTAATAAAACAGATGCTTGTGAGCCTTTTTTTTTTTTTAAATAAAGAAAAGGTTAGGCTGTGGGGTACAGGCTGGCCTGGGGCTCCTACCTTCTGCCACTCTGTTTCTGAGTTGTGTGTGAACCCCAGTAGATGACAGAGTCCATGAGTAGCTGTCACCTGTTGAAAAATTTAAAAAAACTGATTCTGGGGTTGATACCACAGGAAGCTGCCCCTTCAGAGTCACCCCCAGGGTCCTGGCTGCCCTTGGGAAATCAAGCTGTTCTTCACTGAGGGCACTGTGCAGGATCCAGTCACTGTCCTGGGCAGATAAAGGGCCCTTGCCTCGGTTACCTCTCTGAAATGAGAACAACCCACCAACTTGACTCTTCAAAGTAAAGAACTGGGTGGGGGCTGGATACAGAACTTGGCATGGGGAGCAAAGAGGACTGAGCCGACCAAGGCAGGAGCAGCTGGGGGATGCTACAGTGGCGAGAGGCAGCTGGCCAACACTGGAAGTAAACCTAAAGACCAAGGTTTTAATGTGGAAAAAAACCTTACATATTAACAACCTATGTCTTAAAAACAAATAACTGAGCCTCAGGTTTGCTGCCACTGCCCTAGGGTATCTCAGACAGTCCAGGTAGTAACCAAAGAATCCATAGCAAGCACAGAAGATCCTAGAGACTTGGATTCTCCCTGTTTCTGGCAGCTTAAGGAGTTGATCTAGCAGGTCTGTCTGAGTGAAAACACGACCTGTTGATCCCCACAGATGAGTTCTAGAGGGCTCTCAGGAGCCCTGTTTTCACAGACCTGGATACACCTCTTATTTTTCCTGCTGCAACCTGAGTACCTGGGGCACTTGGTATGCAAACAATCGTCTCCTTCCTAACCCCTGTGGATGGCAGGTGTTTCATGAGCCAGGATATGATTTCAACATGTCTACTTACAGTCAGAACATCATAGTAATCTTCCTTTTCTTTGCACTGCTGGAAGATATATTCCACACCTAAGAAAATGTCTCCTAAGTTATAGTCATCTGGAAAACCAGGCTGGGGAATTTCACCTGCTTTCAGATTCTAAAAATGAGAAAAGAGACTTAGAGGATACTGCTCTGGGAACAATAACCCAACCACAAGGACAGGGCTCACAGTCCTAGGGAGAGAGACTCAAGCAGTATGCTTGAATGAGCAGTATCGAGGCCCAAGGGGGCAGACTGTGCAGACCCCACACACACTGGAGACCTCAAATGCTCCCACTCTGCCACATGAGCTGTTTTCTGTTTCCTCTATCCCTCCTAATGTAGAATCATCTCCACCAAACTTCTTCAGAGTTAACTCAGCCTGGCAACACAATTCTGTTATTTCTGACATTCTTGTCTAGTCCTGAACAAATCTTCCATTCGCTCACAGAAAATCTAAAGATTCGGCCCTCAGCTGAGGATTCTCCACACTCAGTCATCTAAGGTTGGTTGAGGGTATATCCATTCTTTCCATATTAAAACAGCAAACAATTCTAGTATATTTTTACATTGTACATTTAACATTGTATCTTTTCTCTTCTTTGGATTTATTTCCCTAGATGTGATACTAGTGGATTACAGCATGGTTGTTTTAAAGGTTCTCTGAAGTTCTCCATGTGGCCAAACTGCTTTCCAAAAGGGTTGCTCGACCTGATACTGCTAACCATTAGGGAAGCCTTGCATTTATATAATGTAGCTATCTGTAGCATTCACACTGTTTTTGTTTAAAGTATTCCAGTTTTTTATTTAGTGTTTTCATTTTTTAAAACCTACTTCTGTTTACTGAGTTCTTCTTAAAGGTACAGAAGAACTTTTAACTCACTGATAGCGCTGAGGAGAGGATAGGGTTCAGTCACCTTTCCTCTTCCATTTGGCAATACCAAGATCAATTAGGGGGAATGGTTGATAGGATCAGTCATCTTGCTATTACATTTGTTTGTTTTTCTGAGATACTGAGGATCAAACCCACTGAGCTACACCTCCAGGTCTTATTTTCATTTTGTCACAGGGTCTTGCTAAGTCACTTAAGTTGCCCAGGCTAGGTTCAAACTTGTGATCCTCTTGCCTTAGCCTCCCAAGTAGTAAGGATAGGGCCAGCCAGATAGCTCAGTGGACTAAAGCACCTGCTTAGGCAGAGTGCAGTGGCCGGAGTTCCATCCCCTGCCTGCTGTGCTGGCCCTGCCCCTGGGGTCCACTGAGACCTCCATTGAGACTGTGCACAGTGGCACGCACCTGTAATCCCAGCACTTGGTAGGCTGAAAACAGAAGAATCACTACAAGCCCGATCTACATAGTGAGACCCTGTAGGCCCTGTAGACTCTGTACCAAATACATTAAAAAAAAAAGTAGCAAGGATAAGAATGCACCACAAAGCCTTGCCATTTTTGTTTTTGAAAATTTTCGAAATCAAAATTTAAGAAACATGCTGTTGTAGACAACTGAATTTGATAAAAATATTACAGGCTGTCAGATAGGGCTGGGCTCTTGAAGAACCAGTGCAAAAGATGGGCTACCTGGCAAATGGAGAGACAGACACCTCCACTATGGGCCAGACTTCTAGACAAAAGATTAAACAAATGCACCCACACACCTTCTTAGGGATGGACATCAGGGATTGATATATTTTTTTTTAATTTTATTTTTTTATTTGTGTGTGTGTGTGTGTGTGTGTGTGTGTGTGGCCAGCTCAGCCCACCAGGGGGCGGGGCTGGCTGGCATGTGGTGCTGGGGGATTGAACCGCAGTCCCTGTGCTCTGCTAAGCTTGTTCTAAGTAGGTGCTTTAGACCACTGAGCCATCTCCCCAGCCCCCAGGGATTGATATTTTAAATAAATATCACATTAAAAAAAAATACAGGCAGAGTCACAAATCCAGTCTCCTGCAGGAAAAGCCCCTGTTCTGCATTCATGTTCATTTACTAAATGACTCACTTCCCCACTGGATTTTTTTTTTTTTTTTTTTTTATGTATTTGATAAAGGGTCTCACTATGCGGCTGTTTTCAGCCTCCCCAGCGCTGGGATTACAGGCATGCGCCACTATGCTGGGTCTTGGTGGCCAGCTCAGTGTCCAGCGGCAGGACTGGCGTAGCATATGGTGCCGGAGCTTGAACCCCAGTCCCTGAGCTCGCCTAAGCAGGTACTTAGTCTGCTGGGCTATCTCACTGACTCTTCCCATTTGATCCTGATATAATCAATTTTACCTGAACAATTTTACTTGTTTTTTTGTTTGTTTGTTTGAGGGACTGAACTCAGGACCCTACGCTTGCCAGGCAAGTGCTTACTCTACTGGGCTATCTTCCTGGGCCCATATACTTGTGACCTTATTGGCTGGCCACAGCTTTGTCACACCTCACGCTCACCTAGCAAGCTCACATATTTCACACTTTGAACAGGACTTGTGTCCTGGATTTGCTTTATAAGAAGTTCCCTAAAAAAGACAGGTTTCTTGGCCACCCACTTGGGAGCCCTTGTGTCCCTCTCTGTCAGAAGCTTTCTTTCCCCCAATAAATATATTCTATCAACCTCCATTGTTCCTAAAATTCATTCTTTGGTTTTAGAAGACACAAACTCATCCCAGGTATCTTTCAGGTTGGGAGTTTCTTTTCTCTATATTAATGTCTGTAATTAAGACAAAATGTACAATGGAAGGCAGGTTAAACAAGAAGAGCAGCATATCTTTTACCTCATGAAATGGAAATGAAAGCACATCGGTTGGGATGTTTTTCTTTCTATAGATCCCATTAATATGCTGAATATTCTTGTTGTCAAGAAAGATGATCCCCAGGTCAAATTTCTCCACTCTTAAAATATTCCTTACAATCTCCACATTCCTGCGAAGTGGCACTCTCCTAATGGGGATCACGCGTTGCAGATTTCTAATCACCAAACTCATTTCAGAAAGAACATCAGGATCTTTAAAATTGTTCGGGTGGTACCTGAGGTTAAAGTTGAAGGTACCAGTATCAGAAAGTGGTACATTCCATAAAAATACACATGCTAGGGGCCAGGGAGATGGCTCAGTGGAATAAGCGCTTCCCTGGCAAGTACAAGGGCCTGAGTTCAATCCCCGGTTCCGCAAAAAAGAAAAAAGAAAAAACAAAAAAACAAAACAAAACAAAAAAAAAACGCACGCTAGGGGGCTGGTGAGATAGCTCAGCGGACTAAGCGCCTGCTTAGGCAAGTGTAGGGACCAGCGTTGAAGCCCTAGCACCACATGCCACACAGGCCCCGCCCCCAGGCACATTGAACCAGCCACTGAGACCGGGAGTGGTAGCACATGCCTGTAATCCCAACGCTCGGGAGGCTAAAAACAGGAGGATGACTACGATTCTGAGCTTTGTATTAAGACCCCTGTACCAGATACATAAATAATAGTAATAATAAAGTTAAAAATACACATGCTACAACCAAATTACTTTATTTGGTGCAATTGTTTAGCCACTTTAGGGGAATTTACTTTCACAAAAAAAAAAAAAAAAAAAAAAAAAAAAAAGACATAAAAATGAGTAATTTAGCCCTGGTCAGTAGCACTTGGCTGTAATCCCTGCGGGGGTGGGATGAGGTTTCAAGAGAACCAAAGTTTGGAGCCTAGCCTGGCAAATCAGCGAGATCCTGTCTCTTGTCTCTTTGTGAGAGGATCTCGATATGCAGTTCAGGTAGGTCTTGAGTTCATTTTGTAGCCGAGGCTGGTCTGGAACTTTCAACGAATCTCCTGCCTCAGGCTCCCAAGTGATGCGATTACAGGACTGTGCCACCACACCTGGCATTTCTTTCTTCCTTTCCTTCTTTCTGTATGTAGGACAGGGTCTACAGGGTCTCACTACGTAGATCGGGCTCGTATTTTCCAGTCTTCAGTCTTCCCAGTGCTGGGATTACAGGCGCGCGCCACCACGCCGTTTCAATCTCTGTTTTAACGGGCTCCTCAGCGGGCCCCGGGGGCGGGGCCGGCACGGCACGCCGGGAATCGAACTCCAGCCACTGCGTCTGCCTGAGCAGGCGCTTTAGCCCGCTGAGCTATCAGGCCGACGCTTATTTTTTTAAGAGCTAGGGATGTAGCGCACTGTGCAAACCCTGGGTCCAGTCCCTAACACCAAAAACAAACAAAAGTGATCAAGACGTAAACAAAAACTAAACTGTTAGGAAGGGAAGCCAGGGAATCCGGGAAATGAGCTCCAATGACAACCCCAGGAAACCACGCATGTGGTCTTCGCTAGCTGGGGCAACTGCACGAGACGGTGCAGCGCATAGAAACAACGTGGCTGCTGGGGTGCTGGGGTCCTAGGGTACTCAGAGTGAGCTTACCGTCCAGGAGCCTGCCCTGCACTTACCGGGCCGGAAGCGACGCAGAAGACCGGAAGCCGCCGGGAGGAATTCGTAACCGGCGGGCCCGTGGACCGGAAGTCTGTCCGCGGCATTTTCTTCCCGCTGCGTTTGGTTCCGTCTGTGTTTTCTGCCCGCTGCGTACAACCAGGCATCGCCCCCACCTCCTTGGTGCCGAGGACCTGCGTGGCGCAAGGCAGGAGACTGGGGGGATCGGGGGGCCGAAGGGGTGGCGAGCGCAGCCGGGCGGCTTCCCCTGTGTAGGAGAGGACCCGCGGCTGCGGTGGGGCTTTACACTCGGCCGCTCCGCGAGGCAGCCTCCGGCAGTCGCCATTGTCAAAATAAATCTATTTCTTGGTCGGGAAAACGGTGTTTCGTGCTTCAGGTGCTCCAAAAAGATTTAGATGGGGTTAGGGGTAGTAACGGCGCAGCAGTTACGTTGTAATCTCTAGTTGTAGAGACTGGGCAGTCGGCGAAGTCTCCTCTGTAAGTTGAAGGTGTAACGGCATCCATTCTTATCACAAAGGGAGAGTTCTCGAGTATTTATTAAAATGGTTTGGGTTTTCATTTTAGCCTGTAACCATCAGTATAATAGGTTTATTTTGTGAGAGCCAACAGGTTCCTTTGCTGGGGGGGGGAGGGGAGACGATGATCGCTCACCGGATAAAGTTGCATCGTGTTTTGCGTTGTGCATCTCTTAAATAATTATGCTTTCAGCTGGGCCTCCTGGATCCGGCTTCTAAGTTCAGCACTTTGGAGGCAGAGTCTGGATCGCTGCAGGTTCCTGGCCAGCGTGGGCTACGTAGTGAGTTCAAGACCAGCCTCAACCACATAGCGAGGCCCTGCTTTAAAAAATAGCAGAATAATTAACTGTGCCGTGTGAGTCAAGACTATTTACGGCGGGGGAGATAGTTCAAGTGGAATAAGTGCTTGCCTGGCAAGTGCAAGGTCCTGAGTTCAATCCCTGGTGCCACCAAAAACAAACAAACGAAAAAAAAGACTTTACTCCTTAGAAGGACTTATTGTGATGTCCTGAATTTTTTGTCTTTCAGCTTATCCTGAAGATGAAGGGAAACTCTCTAGTAGATCATACTGTTTAAGGAAGAAGACTTAACTTTGTAACATGGTATTTATTGCTTTCTAATAATTGAATCAAAGATGAATCCAGTGAATCCCTTCAGCAGTCAGCAGCCAAGTGCTTTTGCAGCATCTTCTAGTAGTACAGCAGGAGCATTTCAGTCTAAGTCACTATTTCGATTTGGTCAGCCTTCAGTTTTTGGACAAAACAGTACATTCTCTGGAAAAAGCACAGGATTTACACAAGTGCCCAGCTTTGGAGCACCCTCTGGAATAAGTCATTCTTCGGGGCAAACATTTGGACTCACCCAGACCTCAAGTTCTGGACTCTTTTCTGGAATTGAACATACTCCTCCATTTGTAGCTACTTCTGGGTCTTCAAGCTCGTCTCTTCCTGGAAACCAAGGATTTAGTTTTAAATCACCTACCAGCTTTGGGGCTTTCTCAAATACTTCTGCGTTTGGATCAGAAACTGGAGAAGTAGTAAGCTCTGGTTTTGGGAAAACAGAAATCAGCTTTAAACCTCTGGAAAATGCAGTATTCAGACCTATATTGGGGGCTGAGTCTGAGCCAGAAAAAACCCAGAGCCAAATTACTTCTGGATTTTTCAGATTTTCCCACCCTATTAATAGTGGGCCTGGAGACCTGACTCCTTTTTCTTTTTCCCAGGTGACAAGTAGTTCAGCTACCAATTCAAATTTTATCTTTTCAAGACCAGTTAATAGTAACAATTCATCTTCTCCCTTTACCACTGCTTTGTCAAACCAAAATGTAGTGGAAGAAAAGAGAGGACTTAAATCGGTATTTGGAAGTTGCAATAGTAACTTCAGTAGTTTCCCTGTATCTGCTGGATCTTTGGGAGAACCCTTCTCAGTTAACAAATCAGGTGTGCGACAGGGGTGCGAAGAGGCTGTTTCCCAGGTGGAACCACTTTCCAGCCTTATGAAAGGACTGAAAAGGAAAGAGGACCAAGATCGCTCCCCGAGGAGACATGGCCACGAGGCAGCAGATGACTCAGATCCTCTGTCCAGGGGTGATCATCCTCCAGATAAGCGACCAGTTCGTCTGAATCGACCTCGGGGAGGGACTTTGTTTGGTCGGACAATACAGGATGTCTTCAAAAGCAATAAAGAAGTAGGTCGCCTGGGCAATAAAGAATCTAAAAAGGAAACTAGCTTCATTGAGTGTGGGGAAAGTGATCACCTGGCTATTTCAGGAGGTAGTCAGTCGGTCCTTGCACCTTCCCGGCTTTCTGGTATGAATAAAGAGGAAGAAATGGAAAGTAGAAATAAAAAAGGTGAGTTAAAAAATGTACAACACAGTATATTCTGCTAGTAGGTTCTCATTAAGTTTCCTGGGCATTACACTAATTTTTCTTTCTTTCAGTTTTACTGTACAGGTTGTTAAACCGAGGGCTTTTGCCCTTAGCTATATCCCCAACCCTTTTTTTTTTTAATTTTATTTTTTATTTTGGGACAGTCTCTCACTAAGTTGCCCTGGGTGGGTTTGAACTTGTCATCCTGCCTCCTCCATCTAGAATGCTAGGATTATAGACATAGACCACTACAACTGACTTTTTTTTTTTTT